CAGAAGGATTGTTCTCATATGATCTAAGACTTGATCCCGGACCGTGCGCGTGGAAATCAGCACCACGTTCCGCTGTGTCACTCCCTTCATACAAACATTACTTTTCAAACACTTATACTACTTACGCTACCCGGCTCCTACCCGGAACAAATCCTCAATACAATCTACAGAATTCAAAAAATGGCGTAGGGAGCCGCTAACAGTTGTTAACTTGAAGGCTGAAGTTACGAGTAGACTGTAGCCCATTAGAGTTGAGGTGGAGGTAGTCAATATGCGGGATGTAGAAAAGCCATGAGAAACGGCCCAGAACCCGAGAAATGGGACCCCTTCCTTGCCCGTTGATTTCCGCATTGATGCGACTCTCATCGGTGCTGCCCTCTTCAACGCTAACGCTCTCTGCAGAATGGCTAGAGACCTATGGCGAGAGTTAGCAAATCGGTGGGCGTGGCTTGTCGATAGCGCCAGCGGGAATGGCCATGCTAGATCAGGATCATAACCCTGCGTGTCTGTCCGTACCCTGTGTGCCGGCCTGTACCAGTGGGAGGTTCTTTCCACTAGAGTAGCTTTACCTTTTTTCGACCGTCGTTCTTATCGTGGAGTCCCCTTTGAAGACACTGATCGGGATCGAGCTCGGGTAATATTGCGTGCAAAGGAGTACAGAGATGCGAAAGCGAACACTAGTGGAGATAAAGTGGGAAAAAATCAAGAGACCAGGAAATACTCCCCTCTCCCCACAGGAGCGGCGAAGGAGACTGGCTTGGAAAGAAGGCGTGTCTGATCGAGTTTTCAGAACAACCAGCCAATCCTGGCTCTATGCCAGCAGTCGATAGTGCGGTCAATATACCCTATCCAACTGATTTCACGCTTATGCCGTTCACCTATCCTCTGCTGCGAGTGGTCATAAGCTGTGCCAGGCGGCAATAGCCCTAAATATTAGGCTGGGGACATTGTAACCCCCTACCTATACCTTTGAAGAATTCCATGGGCGAAGTTCCGTTTGCCTCCCTCCCTTCGCCCTACATACATTTGGAGATGGTATTTCTCTAGACGAAAGGCAAGCAGGGTTAGGACTCAGGTAAGGTTATTCTAGCAGTGTTCATAATGGTCGCTCAAAAAACTCCCATAAAGCGGGTCCTCTTGGCACCAACTTTTTAAAACGTAATTTTGGCTAACTCAAAAAAGGCTACTCAACACGGCGAGCATGTCAGTCTTTTTGATGCCTCAAAATTTGTGTAAAGAATGTAGTTCCAATTCAACGAACCTTTACATGAATCCATTTTGATTCTATAAGTAGGAACAGCGACAGCAGGACGAGAACAATCGAGGAACGCATACGGGTCAGAGAGGCTGGCTGTTATGAACAGAAGCGGCTACCATGTATAGGAATAATGAAGTGGCTGCGACAGCAGTAGGTGCACGGACGAGTTTGCTCAGAACGGCCGGCGAGCGCGTCACATTGTTTGTCTTTTCGCTATGAAGTACGCGGGACCATAGGCTAAAGGGGAAGCTCTAACTAAACAGAGTGCCTTGTATCGGCAACCATCTTCCTTTCTAGAATTTCACTTATGCAGCTTTGTTCCATCGCAGTAAACGTTGCATTGACTTTGTTTAGACCTCGAATTGTATCTTGATATTCTTCCCGACCGGGCCATAGTTCTGGCCTCGAATCCCAGCCGTCATTCCGAAGGGACAGGTGGATTCTAATTTCCCCAACGATGTGTTGTTACATAAATTACTTAACGGAAGTCGTATGAGAAATGTTTGATGTTTAGCTTCTGATTTGTTCAGCTGCGTCCACACAGCCGCTCGGCCAGCGTCCCTCTCCAAATGGTGATTTTGTAAGAAAAAGTGCCTCACTAATGAGTGCTATACTTCTTTTATATACAGATATCTGGGGCGGATGTGTGTAGTAGCGCAAGTGGCAGCCTACACGCGAGCGGTCTGGTCATAACCTGTGTCTTGAATCGCCCGGCCAACCAAGTAATTCCATCCTCTCCCGGAGGTCGGTTAATTTGACTTATTAACCTCGAGGATAAAAAACATGAATGAAAACATCAAACAGCCCCCGTAAGTCCTTGTATAGGCAATCGCATTTCAAACCATCGAATATACAAATGACAGTTAGAATGCACGCCGCAATCCAGATTGATGATCAACGCCAAAAGATATTATTCTTATTATGCTCATGACATCGTGTTCAGAAATGTGCTAGATTATAAGGTGTGGGAAGAGGTAATAGGGGATAAAAAATGAGACATGTTAATTACACTGTGAAATGCGCCACGGCTTGGAGCCACTTCAGCATTGTGACATTTGCGATCATTGATTGTATTTACCAGCGGTATTCATCATTCATACTTTGACTCCAAGATGAATGGAGAACCATGGTCGCTCTCAGAGTGAAGAAGAATTGATTCTAGGATGCTTGTAATTCACGACTGTTCGTGGAGTCGCTCCTTTGAGACTGCCGATTTACTTCACTGAAGCTTCTGTCCCCCCTCATCTCACATTTAAGGGTAGAACGTAGAAATCTCTAGACGCAGAGCATCTGTTCACTTATTTCTTCTTTAGGTTGTCAAACTCGTTTTTGATAGATGTGAAACGAGTTGTTTCGTAGGTCTCGCATTGCGTTTCTGGTGTAGGCAGCCTAAAGCCCGTGGTCCTAGCACACGGGTCAACCGATGCTTCAATCAGTGTTTTATTCCCAGACAAGTCTGGATGATACCAATTAACGCCGAGAGGGATGGATGACTGGTGACTGGCGATATGATCCCAGGATTTAATCGCCGGACCGCTCGCGTGATAAGTGTGCCACTTACTGCTTTAGCACTGGATTGGTCAGACCTTATTAGAACACCTATGCTGGACTACATAGTATCAGATTTGTCGGTGAGGATGAAACCGCTAACTTGTACATTGGGTGGCTCCGAAAGCTATCACATTGGCCAGATAGCTTTTTTTATTCTACTCCTTTTCATTCCATTGCCACTACGACACTGAATTCCAGAAGAATGCATGCTACATAATAAAGAGGGAATGGTTGTCTTTGAATGCTTTATCCTTTAAACGGAAGCCCCGGGATAAAACCGGTAATAATAAGAGCGCTTCGTAATGATGACTGAGCTGCGGGACGGCCTGAAAGTGGAAAAGAAAAATCTTTGGGATCGCTGAAATTAAGGCTTTCCCTTCAAAAAGGTCGGATGTGGAACGATGGCGAGGCAGGGCGGTCAAAGAAGACAAAACACGCGAGAGAGCACGCCGATATCGAGGTGGGTGGGAAGCGTTGCAACGGGGTCGATGGTTGCAGGCCCGTAAGGATTAGCGCCCTAACCGCGCAACTTTTGCGACGAAGCTGGAGTGATCTAGGTAGGTAGGGACCTTACAATTTCCCTCGCGGTATCCTTCCCACAAGTCGGGCTAATCCCGGGTTTGCCTTTAAGGAATACATGACCAACGTTATTCCCATCGGCTGTGTGACCATCACTGTTACCTCGTATTACATCAGCTTTATCGAAAGTGCTCAAGTCATCTACGAGAGGATAGCATTCCTATGGCCGTTTTTAGGTGACCTACATCTTCACTTTCTTTCTTCTCTGCAGTTTACTTTTTGGCACCTAGAAGTTTCGTACCTTGACTTTAATACTCCAAAACTGTTAATGAGCTGTCGAGCTCTTCCTTCTCTATTTAGAGGGTCCATGGGACCGTGAACCATGATTCCGTGGGAAAATCTTCTGATGTCGTCGGTGTAGAAGGCTGTTGTGTAACTTTTTGATAGATAGAATGTGCTCTTCAATATTCAGTTGAGCTCATTTGGTTTGGTTTCGCAACGTGTATTTAATTCCGTTTTGAATGTGAGGGAAGTGACTTTTTTTGCCCCCCCCCTGTAGATAAAACTGCCTGTTTCGCATTCTTGGAATTCCGAACACTTTCATTTGACAACTTTTTCTATTTTTCTCTCATTTTCACATCAAATTTCCACCTCTTCTTCTTTCCACTCCTCAGATTTCTTCTTTCTTTTTTGGGAGAGAAAATTTTCTTTTTCTGGCATTCTTATAGAAAAAGTTTTTCAAAATGAGTTCAAAAAGCACCATATGGAATTCAGTCGCATTTCCTGAGCCAGTGATAAAAGTCTTTTACATCACTTTAACCTGACAGGAATTTTTTCGGAAATT